CGGAGACTGTCCACTAGAGTGATCAAGTAATGCGGCACTTACGCTTTACATAGGCTGGTGCTTGAGGTTCCGTTTTTTCCTTAGCGCCTTCCTTATCTTTGATTTCTTTCACTTTTGAGTGTATGACCGACACCTGCGCTTTCTTCTTTTTCTAAAAATATCAAAAATATTATTTGTTAGTGAACATAAACACCACATTAAAAAGCATTATTCAAATTCAATAAAGGTCTAGCACCAAAACCACGAAGCTGGAAGTGGTGCTTCGCATTGCCGAGCAACAACAACCACAGTAACACTCCCACAATTCCAGAGGAGTTACTTGGAACCAATTCTATCTTAAGTTGGTGAATCTACCCAACCACTACCGGCCAATTGCCCTTCCCCAAGATTATGCTAGTATCCGATACCAAACCGGTCACTTCAGATCATTTGGTCACTGCATGCGTGGCGATGATCCGTTCAACAGTCTACGACACCGTGGGAACCAATTATCATATTAGCAATCGCTTGTGTAGTAACTCTTTTTTTCATTATTGACGGGGAACTACCAGTTTGCTTCACCATGCAATTCCGAACTTATGAAGGTAGAAGTAACAGTAAACAACCAACCTTGCTCTCCTTCTTCGGTTGGTTCTGCTTGTCATTTCTATACAGTAACGAAATTCGCCACACAAAATGCACTGCTCTCAGTACCGAATTCGCTGCTTGGTAAAAGACACGTAAAATCATCGAAGCGTCAGCTGCAGCATGTAGACCAGAAGGAAGTGCTTCGTTCCAAGAAACTTAAACAGGTCCAGTTGGACTAATTGGATTACTCTAACGAAAAAATTGTCCAAACATAATTTACAGTACCTGAACCCTTACCACTGCCACTTTGACCGCTGCCATCAGCCGATGAACTGTGCCCGTTCTTTTTATTGTCCAAGTTGTTCAAATCAAATACGGACCGAGGTGTGGAATGGTGCTGACGAATTGCACAGGCAATAGCTCTATCGCCTTCTAGGTATGCACACGCTAGCACACAAACCAGGCAGAACCTATAAGAATCAGATACCAGTTAGTCAGGTAAACAAGACTAACAATGAGATTGAAACCTACACAAGGGCTGTGACACAACTGTAATACATGAGGTTTTCAAACGGCGGTCGAGGAAGAGCTCGATGGCACCTAGCCAACATATCCTCTGGAACAGTCGCTGACAAAGGGAAAAGCCATGAGCTGCCGTTCATATGCATATACAACTGGAGATCCGCCTCATTTGTAGTAGTTAAGAAGTCTGGCGTATACCTAGATTGTGGAGCTA